CGGCGGGTGCGGGGAAGGAAGAAAGGGGCGCTCGGAGGGGGACGTGAGTTTTTAATGGAGACCCTCTGGAAAGTAATCTGCAGGGGTGTCAAGGGGAGGGATAAACGCCCTCCCCGGCTCCGCTTCTGCTTCCCCGCGAGAGCCCCACAGGGACGCGGTCGAGGCAGGTGGCTGGGAGAGGGGGCAAGCTCCCGGGGCTGCTTTTTTAAGGCTGAGAGGGGATTATTAGGCTGGGCGGGTGGGCTGCTTGCTTTCCTCCTGTTCTTACAACTGTTTCAACCCCAAAGCTTCTCCCCTGCCTCACCGGCTTTGTCCCTCCGGCAACAGCAGCAACTTCTCACCTGTCTCAGTTGGAAAGCAGTAAGGGGGGAAAAAAAAGAAAAAAAAAAAAAGCCCCCCAGCCCAAATCCCCCCCCACAAGCAAGCCAAAAGGAATCCCCGGCAGCTTTCCCGTCTCTCACCTGTTTCAGCCCTAAAGCAGCAGCTGTGTCTTCCCTTCCCTCCCCCGGCTCAGCCCTGAACCAGCAGCAGGAGCAACCGCTTCCCACTCGCCCTCGCCCGGAGTTCAGGATTCCATTGTCCCCCACACTGCACTTGGTGACATCACTGACACACAAAGAAGGGGTACTTCGTGATGTCATCAACGCATGCTGGGAGAGAAAACAAAATCCTGGGCTCGGGGCTTGGCAGCGACAGCACGAAAAGCCCCCCTTCAATTTTCCAAAGGTAAAAGTAGGGATTTTTTTTCTTTTTTTTTTTTTCTTTTTTACCCTTTCCCCCCGAGTCCTCTGACGGGAAGCCCGTCTGCGGGAAAGGCGCAGCGGCGTTCAGCCGGCTGGGCTGCCAGCGCATTGTATTTGCGAGGCGTTTTACTCATCTCCCCGAAATCTTTCCTGTCTTTCTCCCGCTCTGCCTGTCCACCCACCCGGCTCTCTGCCCGCCGGTGGGGCAGGTGATGTGAAGCTGGCCCCCGAGGCGAACCTCTCCGGGAGGACCCTGTCCCTTCGCAAGGGCGCAGGCTTGGGTGGGGACAAAAACCTAAAGGTTGGGTCGGGTCGTGGATGCCTGTGGCTTCTTCTGGGCACACTTGGGACCTGAAGAAAAGGGGCGTTTGGGCCAGGTGGAAGCAGGACTGCCTGGGGATGCTGAGCCGAGCCTCTGTGGGACAGTGGCTTTACACTTTTGTGACTCACCACAAGGATCTTGTCATGGCACTGATCTTTCACCATTTACATGCGGTAATCCTTGAACCAGAGGAACCCCTGGAAGGGACACCCAAGCAGGGACAGCGTTTCCCTTTGTCACCCTTCCCTCTGTTTCCTTGGACCTCTGCATCTGCTGCTTCTCCCTTCTCACCCTCCCCCCCTCCCGGCCCCGTACCCCCAGTTTTCTGCACACATCTCAGCAGCACCTCATTTCACCTGGATTAATCCCAAAGCTACCTACACTCCCCACAGACTTGCTGACCAGCCTCCGTGTGGTTGAGCAGTGCAGTGTGTTAGATAGGTACACCAGCAACATTGTGAGAGTCACCTTGACAAAAGAAGCAATTCCACTGCAGTGTCACACTTCCTGGTCTTTGGGTGGGTTTTTTTTGGTTTTGGCGTCTTTTTTGCTAACCCTCCTCTTCAGTCTTTATTACCTGTGGTACTACATATTAGGCCGTGGTGAATTGTCCTCTGAAAGCAGCTTGCTAGCATAGCCAACCCATCTAGTTTGACCTATGGGAATGACACCTGAGAAGTCATGTTCATCCTTCCCTCCAGTAACTGTGGAGCTTTGGTGTCTGCACCATTGACAACAGCCTTGAAGGCACATAATAAATTTCATGAAAAGTGGCATTTAGATAAAGGAGGGTGATCCGATCACTTAGTGCCCCTCATTGACGAAAGGGGGGCAGAATTTACCTCCTATATACTTAACATCAACCCGGCTGCTCTGTCAGCATTCTCCAAACTAACCTGGGGGGCTGTGGAGGATGGAGCTGGTGGTATGGTGCTACGTGCCAGGCGACAAATACAGGAGATGAGAGGACACAAAGCAAGGTGACCAGGCTTCACAAATTTCACTGCTTATGGAACAATTTTTTTAAAACAGAAAATCTTCACTTTCACCACAAACAAACCTCCAGCCCTTTCCTGTCATCACAGGAAACCTGCACCAAAGTCAAATGAAACAACTGATATTAATAATGAAAGCCCTCCACTTCTGTAACAGGGGGCAGGGAAAATGTAAAGATTGTTACAAAATCATACACGCGCTTTTCCTTTATTATGTTAATAACCTCGGTAGGGGGTTATCTGTAGACTAACCTTTTCTGCAGCACACAATCCTTGGTAACCCTGTTCAAAGTAATAATACGATAACCAGCAGCAGCGGTTATTTACTTTGAAGCCTACCCAGAAATGCGTTTGCTGAAAGCACCTACTAATTTCATCGCTTGAGCAACTGTTACAGTGGCAACTCCCATTTTACGACTTACCTCCTAGGTCATGGCTAGGATCCCGCAGCGGGCTGTTCTCCTGTGCTAGCCATGCCATACCCATAGCCCTGGAGAGAGAGTGAGCCAAGAAGCCGACTTCTATGCCCAGAAACATTTTTGCAGCTTGCCTTGCTCCCACCCATGATTGTCCTCTCAGCCCTGTGTGGACACTGAAGAACTGGAAAAGAGTGCAGACCATGGTCCTTATTCCAGCAAACAGGAGAACTAGCTCCTCTGATCCAATCTCTTCCCACCATGGGAATTTTGACACTCACTGATGTGCTTCTATTTCTTTCCTGTGAAGTGTGTGCACTTTATTAGGCGAGCTTGCTTTCTTACGAGTCCTTCCTCACTCTGTCTCCTTTTCTCTCTCTCTCTCTTTTTTTTTTTTGACCAAGTTGTGCAAAAGACTTGCAGAGGAAAACTGACCCAGATTATTCATTTTCACTGTGCCCCAAGCTTTTTTAATCGATGGCACTAGCTCAGTGTAGCAACTGAATAGGATTAGTCACTTTTCCCTCTGGATCGAATTTGGAGGAGGCTGCAAAGCTAGATGACTAGAACTGAGTTGCCTTTGGGGCTTTGAGCTTAATTCACAACAGAAGCTAGCCAATTCAAATCACTCTGAGCCTCCTGCTAAAGGAAGGTGACTAGGATTAGTCCCTTTGTACCATCTCAGCTCCAGATACATTTTCAGCATTTTTCCTGGCTGGTTTGTTTGAGCCTGAGCCAAAGCCCCTTATATTTCCACCAATTCCAGTGAGTTTTGCATCAGGCCTTTTGTGGGGAGCAGAAAAGAAATGATCATCTGTTTGGCTCTCCTAACGTCAGCTCGCTGCTAATGTCACGCTTGCAAGTGACAGCGGGAAAGCCAGAAACACGCTGATATCTCACACAGTCCTGTG